TCATTGAATGAAGCATCACTATGCGGCGCATAGTCACAGCCACAATGGTCACATGGTGCTATAATTCTTCCATTGCGCGAGTTCGCTTCGGCACATACTTCTGCGTCCACTTGAAGAAGTGTTGGACATAGGCATGGTTTTGATGTAACAAAGGGGCCATGCTGGATGTGGGCTGGGTTGGATGTCCAAACCCGGCCTCCTGCGGGTTGCATCCAGACGCTTCTCGTTTTTTTCTCTGGATCAGCTGCGGTACAAATTGGACAAAAATTCGCAAATAAATAGGAATGAAGTCGCATGATCCACAAATAGATGGGAAGTAATCCACATTTCCTTACGTCTGATGTCTCCACCATGGCACCATATGTGTAAAGTTTGCATGTTCTCCCTGTGCCATTGTGGGGCTTCTTCTGGGTACTCTGGGTTCCTCCCACAGTCCAAAAACATAACTGGAGTTACCAAATTGCCCATAGCTGTGCTTATGTGTGTGAATTGTATGTGAAATAAATAGGAGCAAAAACAAAAATGTCACGTGATCCACAAACAGATGGGAAGTGATCCACATTTGCATTTGCTGGCCTGGCTTAGTGTTTACATGGAGGACGAGCCTGTTTCTTGCAGCTAACAAAACCGAGGCCTAAGAAAACTCCTTAGACTGGGGGTCGTTGTGAGTGGAACAGGTTCCCCTGACCTTATGCTCATCAGCTGGTGACAGCAGGAGAACTCTGGCGGCTGGATGAAGGACTGTGATGATGTACCTTGTGGGTTAGATGTGGCTGGAGCCTGGGTGCCTTTCATTACAATCTAATGCATGGTCTGCAATCTGCTTAAGTTATAGAAATTTAGTTTTGAAATACCAGAGTTGATTATGCCTCCTTGACAATTTTTATGCCATGACGTTTATGGTTCATCTTTTAAAAACAAAATTTAATTATTCCTGGGAGTTGAATTGTGATTGGTTGTGTCTGTGCCTGGCTGGTACTTAGGTTAATTGAGCTGGTTCTTAGGATTGATTGCAGTGCTTCCAGGTGGTACTTCATGCTGAAATAAAAGGCAATGGCCTTGTTATTAGATGGTTATGTTATATGTGTAGTTTTTTTTCCTATTGTTTGCTTTCAATGCAAAATTATTGTAGAATGCTTGCCAAGTTCAATTAAACACAAGAGCTTGAAGGTAGTTAAAGACTGTGTTTGCCACATATATTGTCAGGATTAATCTCTTGGCAATCCTTTGAGCAGCTTTTGTGGAATTATCATTAAATACTCATTTTGTATTGCAAATGAGGGATGTCTTAACTGCAAACAAGCAGAGCATATTCGTTTTGTTGCTTTCTTTCCCTTTGTAATTTGATTTTCCAATGCTATTTCAGGCAACCTGCTGGTGTAAGCACAACAGAGGCTTTACAAACAGTCTATTGATCATGGCAAAGAGCAATGTCTGGTGTGGGCAGTCAGCAGCAAGGGTGTGTGAGGAGACAGAGGGAGGGCCCTCCTCATCTGCATGCTGGGGGTCCAGTGCTTTGGCACTGTGTTCTTTCCTAACACAAGCAGATCATGTGATCACTCACTGGGCTCTTCATTACAGCTCATTGTTTTTTTAGCAGTAAAAATTTTATTGATTTTCTTTGGAAGGCCCGGTACATGACATGCATCCACAAAAAAACATATATACACCCTTATACCTATACACACCTAATAGACATGGTTATTAAATTTTAAAATATTAAGTGCATATTATTGAAGGGCGGACAAAAAAACCTACACAGCACAAACTGTTGTTTTCAAATGAGTCCAAAGTCTAACCCCCAGTAAAGTTTTGTTACTTTCATTTTTATGAGTGTCATTCCCCGATCATCCCGATCCTCTTGTGTGCCACGCCCCCTCATCTACCCCGTGTGGAATCCCCGTGTTATTAGCTGTTTTTTATTTGTGTTAATTGTTGTTGTGTATTTAAGTGTGTTTCTGTGAATGTTTCCCCAGTCCGGTCGTTGACGTCGTTCTGTGCTCCTTAGTGTGTCTATTCAGAGTAAGACCCGTGTTCACCCGATTTCCCCGGCTCCCGTGCCTGCTTCCCCGCTTCGTGCTGAGACAATGAACAAACACTCCTAAGATGATATATTCACCACGGCCCCCAACCATTCTTTCACGCCTGGGGCTTTAGTTGTTTTCCAGTGGTTCAAAATGATTTGGGAAGCAGTAACTAAACCTTAAATGATAACTGAAAATAGATTTTTTAATATATTCGGTATATCTGAGACCTGTCCCCTAGCAAACACAGCCCAGGGGGCAGTGGAATATCTGATCTTTACCAACTACTCAATATTCTTAAAACTCAGGCCCTCAGCTCAACCCAGTACAGCCTGATGAGAGGGCATTCCCATATTCAATGCAAAAAATATAGTTTTCCAGTAAATCAAGGTTGTGTTTATGCTTGAATTCCAAATGTGAGTTATTTCTCTGATTACTGCAACTAGTAGTGAGACCATTTTTAGTAGTCATGCAGGCAGGAGGCATTGTTCGTGTGCTGAAGATGACAAAAGTGCAGTCACAGGACAAAAGTGCAGGACAATAAGGGATGCAAAATCAAATAGAATGATTGTGCTGTACAGCAAATGTTTAAAACTTAACCTTTACTGCCACCTTGTGGAAGCAAATTGCATTAATCGTGATTCTGAACCTGAACCGATTGTGGTTTTTTACATTTTTGGGAGGATTTCAGTGGTCAATCCTGCTAAGAGCAATATGGACAATTGCCCAGGGCAATTACCGAGAGCTTGTGGGGAAGGTGGGGGATGGGAGGGGGTACGGTGAAGCTTGCTTTGACCACTACTTTTGACCCCTCTTGCTGGTTGGACCAAATACCAAATATTTCATTTACACAGTCATGAGTTTGCATCGGTATTTTGTTTTTCTTTTTTTCATATTACAACTCAATGATTATGAATGAACATTCTGGATATCTGAAATATAATTCTGGATATCTGAAATTAAAAGCCCAATAGACATGAATGGCAAAAGTGACGTAATTTCTCCTAGGAAGAATTTCAGATATGGATATCTGAAATGACAATTGTGGATAGGAAGAATGCCATTGTGGATGTCTGAAATGCTCTTTTTGACTAGGAAAAATTGAATTAGAGATATCTGCAATACATATCCAGTCTAGCGATTAAATGTTAAAACAGCTTGCCATACGTATCTTTTAATATAGAACAATGTAGTGTTAAGAAGGTTTCGGGAAACTCACCCCTGGTTGGCAGTTGCCCGGCAACATTGCTCAAAGAGTTTCCCTGTGTATCCTTACCTTTAAAGTTGTCGCTATCCGATCCACATCTTCCCACCTGATTCACACCGCAGTGGACCCCCCCCACCCCCCCCGCAGGGCAGACCCATGTAACTCTTTTGGGCTTTGCCTGGCTGGGCTGCATAGGCCTGCCAGCCCCCCAAGGATGGCTCCAGGGGCACTGCCTGGTTTCTCTTACCTGGGCGAGGTTACATGATCATTCTTCTTCTGAACTGAACTGCCTGTCTGGCCACTTACTGTCTTTGATGTTGCTCAGTAGGACAACATTAGAAGTAATGACCTCACAGGGGTATGTTAATGTTGTTTGGTCTTTGGGGAACAAAACTGTACCATTTTCTGTATCATTTTCTCTGACTGTGTATAGCTGGCAAGGTCAATTAAATAAATTTAAAAAGCATAATGCTTCATCAAAGGTTTATAGGTACGTTTTCTGTATGTCTGTCTCAGTGAAAGGCATGAATAGCCATTGGCTCTTCCGCACAATCAAACCTGATCACTTTCCAGTCACCAGCAGAGGGAGCTGGTGTCATGGCTTTTATGTTGGTCTGAATTCTGAAGTTACCCATGTTTTACAGTACACTATCAAATCCTGCCTCTTTAATGTAATTTACAATATGAATGGATATATTTGTTGAAATTTTCACTCACTTTCAGATAAATATGGCATATTTTAAGTGTTCGATATCACCCGCTGCTGCCAAATGGTGAGGATAGAAGTAGTTAAGACACTTCTGCTTCCATGCCTGAAGTCTGAACATCACCCCATGTTTTGCAATAACTGCAGTACACATTCCAGGCCTGTTTTATGTATCTTCACAAACTGTGGCTTTCTGCTTGCCAAATGCTCTGCCTAATTTCCATGTTGTCTTGCTCAGTCAGTTATTTACCGCCTGTTATTTACATGCACAATTTATCCCTGCATTTAACAGTCACATTCAATTTCGTTTGTAGTCCTAATAATGCAGCTTAAAGTGTAAAAAAAAAATCAATGGGAATGAATGCTGGATACTGACTTTTTATATTACAATTCCTTGGAAGAAACTATCTGGAAAAATTGTGCATGTGCATCCTCCCAAACTGGGGAGCGTATAACTCATTGGCTTTTGCATTTTCCCCCGGTTTTACAGTTGCATATTTCTTGGCAACTACACTGCATTAGCTGTAATGGAAGGAGCACCCAGGACGCAGATAACTAAATACGTTCCGGTTTCAGTGTCTCATCTTTGTGAAGCTATTTAGTGAAAAGCCTAATCAATTTTGATTGAGTCAGTCACGGTTTGACTGCATGAAAGCTGCCCGCGGTCTACTCACTGCATCTGCTGTGCCAGCAAAGGATAATTTTCTGCTGAGAGGTTTTGTGGCATAATCGCAGCATAAATTGGGTTCAGTGCAGTATGATACGCTGGAGAAAGTGTGCTGTTTTGTAAGAAAATTTCAACGAAACTTTCATGAAAAATGCAAGATATAATAAATGACATACAGCAGGCCATAGATTGCATGAAGCTGCTAAGAATTCTTAGATATTGTGTGCTACTGCATAGCTTTTAGTAATTCAAAAAAGCTAAATCAAGCTGCCATTTTTGCAGTTGTGGTTCCCACTTCTGTTTTTTTTTTTCTGATGACAGTTTTGTTAAATCAGAATCAGGTTTTATTAGCCATGTATGCATGCATACAAAGACATTTATACGGTGAGTTTGCTCCTGAGACACATACCTTAATACTGCCCAAGAACTAAATAAACACACAAAAAAACAAAGTTAAATTAAGCTATGCTAAAACAAAAAGTGAGGCAAAGATTGTGATCAGGTGTTGAGCGGTGCAATCCCTCGGGGGAAGAAGATGTTTTTGCGTCTTGATGTGGTGGTTCTGATGGAATGGAACCATCTCCCTGAAGGGAGAACTTGGAAGAGTGCATGGCCAGGATGGAAGGTGTCAGCAATGTTTTTGTCCTTTTTTTTCTTGAGGGGGATAGCGAATCACTAGGGGTGAGGTTGTAGCCAATGACCTTTTCTGCTGCTCAGATGACACGCTGCAGTCTCTGGATGCTTTGCTTAGTGTTGAGCTGAACTAGACCGTGATGGAGGAGGTGAGAACTGATTCAATGATAACTGTATGGAACTGGATCAGCGTTGACTGTGGAGGGTTGAGTTTCTTTAGCTGCAGCAGAACATCCTCTGGCCCTTCTTGATTATGGAGTCAGTGTTGCTCTCCCACTTAAAGTCCTTGGAGATGATACTTCCAAGGAACTTACATGACTCCACAGTGGGGATGGAAGTGCTGTTGATGGTAGGTAGGGAAGGGTGGGGGGATTTCCAGAAGTCCACAGTCATCTCCACTGTCCTTGTGGTGTTGAGCTCCAGGTAGCTGTTATCCCACCAGCATAACTGTGTCGCTTCATGTCTGTATGCAGATTCATTGCTATCCATCCCACATGTGGTTATGAAGAATAATAAAGTTGCATGTCAAAAATACAATTACACATGTGTAATAGATATTTGATTATTGGTCTTAAATTATGTAACTGTCATGAAATTTATTGTAAGTATTATTGGGAAAATACGTAAAGACAACAACTGGGCAAATATGAACCTCCTGGAAGTATGTTGGTGGCCTTTGGGCCTTAATTATCAAATAATTAATTTACTGAATTGTCGCTTTCAACAACCAGATCATCCTACTGCTGCCGTAATGTTGAAATAGTAATGAAGTTTTATGTTAGTATTTTTTAAACACCTGGGTCGTTGAAAACAGTCAGATGTTTTTTATGTATTAAAAAATACCACAAGGTGGCGCTCTTCGCGCCATTTTGAATTGTTTTGCGTTGCACAACACGGATTGTCAGCAATCTAAAAGGTGAAAGCACTTATTGTTAAAGCACGTACAAAGAAATTGCTTTAGTTTACGTCGCAAGATTCCAGTGCTCTCCACAATTGTATAGGGTCTGTGCTAAATTAAACAGAATATTTGTATATGTATGAGGAGGTAAAATATAATACAGTACTGTATAATATTTTAAGCTAAGGAGGGATATATGATATTCCTTTAACCGTTCTTATTGCAGTTTCACTAGCCGACATTTCACGTCATGTTATAACGACATTAGAGTTCTGAATATAGTACATGTTTCAGTTCTGCAGTCTGCTTACAACTCACAAATGTTAACCTGCGGTACAAACAACAAACATCTATTAATCATCAATGAATTTCAATTCACATAGTTATACATTTGTTTTCAGACCAAGATTGTGCTTCTTACTCATCTAACGAAAGAGACAAGCGAAAATATCACAAAACGTTTTCCACGACTACTTACATCATATATATATATATATATATATATATATATATATATATATATATATATATATATATATATATATGTACAGTATCTTGCTCTTCTGTTAATGGTCATTCTAGACTGGGTCTAAGCTAACTGTAACATTGGTCGCATAATGTAAACTGGCTCACTAAAAGCTCTCAAGCCATAAAATATCGTTTCCATATTTAGATGAATTTTGGCGAGGAAACGAACACGAATTTTCCCAACAGTTAGGTTGATGACTTGGAAAATCCCGAATGGGTAATTTTGGTCCGGACTTATTGTACCGAAAATGCTTTTTGACACGTGCTAATTAAACGTACAGTATGTGAACGTACCCCTTGTGTCTCAACAATATTTGCCCAACAAAAATCTTTATACTGTGGATATAAAAAAATCTAATATATTATGTTTGTATTTGAGTCTCCTAAAAGGACAAATTACCCACCTTTCCCGCGCGCAGCAATCACAACAAAACAGTAATAAAATTCAAACTGCACATTCAGTACTATAACTACAATCTTTTATTGCACATTCCGACCCACACAACTCATGCCCATTTGAACAACCCTATATAGGCCTATACTTTTGATTGCATTTTTCGATCTTCGTCCTTGTCTCAGTATGTCGTGTTTAAAATGTCATGTTTATAGTATATTTATCGCTGTCTTCCTGCACTACGGATCAAACATCAAAAGATACTTAGACTTTTGCTATTCTAATAGCTAAATTTCTTTTTTAAGTTGGTTAGTCAATAACTGAAGTGGGGAGCCAGACGTTTGTTGAATATGGTAAATGTATACGCTTATTACCCTATTTATTTATGCATCGCCAGTCAATAATAATAATACAACCAGTCAGCTTTAGTGAAAGGGTTCTAGAAAGTCGATGAAATGAACTATTTCATTAAGTTATCGCCAGAGTACAAAATCAGGGTTTGGGATCGAGTGGCAGATACTTTCTTTTGTGGGGATTGTTTGTTCAGGCGGTTCTAGTTCTAACTCATGCACCATAAACTTACTTATAAGTTTAATATAAAGGTTGGCTATCTAAGGCTTTGCGTCCTCTGAAATCCGGGCGTTTGATATTAAAAACACGTTGGCCTCTTTTCAACATCCACAGCTATTCTGCGCCTCGTCCGCGAAAGGTTTCGTCTCACACAAGTTGGTCTCACAGAGCGGCAGACTGGTTTTTCGTTGGTTTGCCTTTCATTTCATTATCGGAATATTTATCAACAGAGGTTGCTTGGCAATGTTTTTTTTTAATCGAAGTGTGATATCGCCATTATTGTAATACTGAAAAGTAACGGGTGGTCTACACTTTTTGTGGGATACGCACAATATTTAGCAACGCATCCTTATTAAACAGCCGAACAGCTTGGCTGCTCTGCTGCCGTTTTAATTTATACTCTTTAAATCACACGAACTCTGTTTGATACACGAAAATAATACCAATCTAATTTAAAATACACCAGTTGGCATGTGTGAAATCCTTGCGAGTGCTATAGGCTACTTGCTGTCATATTCGCATGTATTGTGACAGCGGGCCCCGTGTTTTTGTGTGGCACATTTAATAAATTGATTACTATAGAGATACCTCATTTAAAGTACTAAAAGTGGCAGCACGTGAAAGCGTTATTTCCATTACTAAGTTTCTGTTGTCTGTTACATTTTCCATTATCATTATTAGATCCATTTGAATGTGTGACTGAAGAGACAATACGCGCATTCAATCACAACAACATAACTCATACATTAGATTAAAAGGTTTTCGGGTTTTGTTTTTTACTATGACACCCTTCCGAACATTGTGAAAATTTAGCGCTAATACAGCGGTAAAATTAGATCTGCGAAAAATTTGAAAAGAACAAGTGCGCAGTTAATTACAGGATTGGTTAAATAGTGTTCTGTTAATCTATATCGACGCAAAGATTATTGATTTTAAAATATGCCTATATTTCTGTGCATAAATATAGGTAACTCCGACAGACCCTATCTCCAAAGAGGCAGGAACACACATTATTAACAAAGTAAATTTTACATGCAAACATATGACAACGGTTGTTTAAAAACGTAAGCGGGGTAAATGGATGGGATGTTAAACAAGGAGGTACTAATCGGAGACACCTGTTAGAGTATTTTTAAATGCAGTTATTGCATAAAATAAAGAAGCAACCTTTAGGGTCCTTGTAAAGGTCTGTACAGGCTACTTGTATTACCATCGTTTTAATTAAGCACAAAGAAGGATAATGAGTGTTTATTAAAATCATGTAATATAGGCCTACTATAATAAAAATTGCAATATATGTATGTATAAGTATCCATTCGGATGATGCACATTATCCTATAACATTAGCATATCATCTTTTTTATACGTGTCGAATTTATCAGAATTAAAAAAATAATAATTTAAGCATAATATTTTGGTTCTGGTTTGAGTGCGGTTTTCATTTTAAAAATCCAAATACTAAGTTGCATATTTTGGTACAACAGACTGTACATCTTAGTAAAATGGGGCACCAGTAACGATAACGACCGCAATATTAATTCCGATTTATTGGACTTTCCCCTAAATACTTATATACATTATACTTAACCGAATTACCTGCTTACCTTTAAAGCAATATAACAATCGTTAGTACCGACTTTTCTTGTATAACAAATTTCGTTAGTGCATGGTAACAGCGAGAATCGCATCCTGATTTGACAAGTCGCTACGAAACAAATGAACCTTTTGAATTTTTTAAATTCCATTTCTTTTGTCGGGATTACAGGCATTAATAAGGAACATTTTATATTCGTTGATTATAGTTTTAATTGTGTTTAATTAAATTAGTTCATGTATGAAATTATGTATTTGCAAATAAAACGAATAAACGATCTTTTGTTTGCAGTAATCAGATTAATGTTAAATTTAATCGGATTTGATAAACTTGTGGATGGAATATAAAATAAATTAGAATTTTATCCTTTGGAGGACATATTAAGTTCATATTTCTTACTTAAATACGTTAGAAGAGTCATGTTATAAAAACACCAATAACGATTAACCTGCGTTTTATATAGTGGCGTTTAGTAGTGTATTGATTTTCTCTTTATTTAAAAGAGAAAAGCTGGTACACATAGGCATATTATCACTTTATATAACGTAATGGATTGTACGCCAGAACAGAACGGTTCATCCATCCATCCATCATCCATCCATGATGCATGAATCCATCTGTCTTCTAACCGCGTATATGCTTGGTCAGAGTCGCGGATAGAAGAGTGTAGGCCTACTCGCAAAATATATACCATTTTTTCTTATGTCTTTTCAGATTTTCGTTACAATTGCTTGATTCATATCAATTCCTCATGTTTTCTTTTGTCTACCGAAAGACATTCGCAAATCAAAAAATATATATTTGTAAGTAATATTGTGCTTACGTGTAAATCCATAACTATGGTTTTATTTAAAGCATAACACGTAAAATATTCTCAGCAAATTCAACGGTAAACGTAGAGAGGTTGACCCCAACAGTAAATCTCAATAGAATTAAGCTCATATTTCAGGTTGTTACATCATCAAAATATTCCCGACATCAGGAAAGTATTGTCGTGTATATAATCTACATGTACACAGTATTCCCATGCATAAAATGCACTGAAGAATGTGACGGGAGACCAAGAATAACTACATGTAATATGTATTGTAGTAGTGTCACGATATGTACATAGCCGATAATCAGTTTGACGTTTAGCTGTTTACTTTACTATTTTCTTCTTGGGAAACTGCCCTGTAATGTCTGGAATGACTCTGGACACAGTTAACCAGGGGCTGCAGTTTATAGGCCGAGACTATGTCCTCAAAAGACAGTTTGTATGTATGGATATGCATTACTTTTTAATGTTATGTTTTTTCAAATATGTTATTCTCCTTTTCTTTTCCTAAGGAGAATGCATCGGCCATAGTCCTGGTTAAGCACAGGTAGTAAATGTAGCCTAAACCTATGCTTATTTTCTATTGGTATCATTAAATTTTTATATTTTAGTATACGTTTTAAAAGCAACCTTCGGACAGATACCAAGACATCCGCGCTAAATGTCTGTTTTATTCCTTCTAGCACCCAGTAAAGCTCTACGGCCGTAGCGCAGGTTTATTTAAACGGCTCAAAAAATATTGCTGCTGTCATCTTTTAGTGAAACCGAGTCCGTAACACGAACGGAAAAGGAAGAAGTGCAGGGCTGCTCATTGTCATGACCCTGACAGAAAGATTTCAAGTTAGCCGAAAGGGCCCGAGACTCTTCTAGATTCTGATTTATGGGGAGCGGCTTCATACGCGCAGTTTGCTAAAAAAAAAATCATTGTCTCCCGGTTTCTGCAACCAGGCTGACTCGTTCGTAAACCTGCGACAGTACGTACTATATTGTCGATCAGACATCTCCAGTAAATGTAGTTTACTCATTTTAAAAAATTAAAACAAGAAAGGACATCTTTTAGTTTAGAATACTGTTCTACCTCGCGTAGCTACAGTATTAGCAAGCCTTTCCAAGTAGGGTCATAAACCCCGTTTGAAGTTATAGACGGGCTGTTTGTAAAGCAGACAGTGGCCACAATCCAAAAAATATACTGTAAAGTTAGGCATATGCTGAGTGGACAGCATAGGTTTGATGTGTCGATTGAATCAAGGATGTGAGGTGGAATCACGTAAAAGTACATTTAAGGTTAAATCAGAAAGCGGACAGTAAAAGGTACTATAACCTAAATAGACGAAAGCACATCTATATTTGGACTAGTGCATACTATAAAACTAAGAAAGCATCACAACCTCGGGTGCAGGGTTTGTTGTCCTTAAATTACTGATATAACATTGTTTTTCCGCCTTGCTTAAGGGAACTCGCCGAGTTGTTTAAGAGAGGTCGCCGAGGACATAACTTAGATTCACATTAAATGGATTTATTGTATCTTATAAAATTAATATTTAAAAGTATTTTTATTTTACTTTTTTGCAAATAAACTTGACAAAGCATCATCGGAGACTTTGAGGCCTTGAACTCCTTTATGCCGTGGAACATTATACTGATATCTTTAGATTTTATATTTCTGAAAGCAGTTTTTACATTTGTCTTGTTTCAGTAGTGTTAACATATTAATGAAAATATAAGAGGGGAGCACGCCTGCGCCGAATTATATCCGAATGGTACCGTGTTAATCATGACATAGATTTTATCTTAATATATTTAACATGCCATGCTGGACATGAAGTGGCGTTATTGCGAAGCACATGCACTCTTGGAAAATGATTCGGACCCTTAATGCTGGTCATATACTGTGGGTTCAGGGGAGGTTGAAGAAAGAAGGCTGATAATCGCGAATAAAGTGTACTTAAATCGGTATGTATTATTCAGTCACACAACGAATGGAAGGTTATGACAAGCGGGTACAGAAAATGGATGGATGGATGCTGTTTTGTAAGCCTCGGCATTTTTTCGTTATTATATAGATTTCGTTCCATCTATTTGTGTACATTATGTAGCCAAATGTAGGTTATACATACGTTAAGAAACAGATACATTGTAAGAAATTTTAAGAATCAATCTGGCTAAGAATGTAAATCTAACTATAAACCAAAACAAGATAACAGGAATCAAAATAAAACCAATAACCAGCAAATTTCAATGTATGCCGCTTATTTTTCTCCTGTTTCGTCTTTGGGAAGTTTTACCTCTTTAACCATAGAATGGTGTATAAACCTTATTGCTTAAAATAACAAAGAAACATAGATATTTATTAACATCTATGTTATATTTGCTAAATGTGTGTGTTATATTTGTGTGTGTAAGATATAACATACGGTATTTTGGTTTTGCTGTCTTTTTTTATAGTTGTATGCACGTAATGAATGTGTGTGCGAAAGAACGTGGAGATATTCTATTTTTATCTGCAGTATTATGAACGACAATTACCATTTAACAAGTTAGCACGGTAAATTAACACGTCCCTTTAGTACATTATAATTATTTTATCCAAGAATACCTCATATACTGCTGCAGTTTGGGCAGATCGGGTCACCATGCATACATCTCCTTTCACAAAGAATAACGTAATAACTGCAAAATGTATATAAAGATAATTCTTGGAAACGTTATTAAACCTGATAACGTTTTCAAGAATTTTCTTCATACGCATTTTGCAGTTGTTGCGTTATTCTGTGAGAGAGGCGATTCATGTATATTAATATTTAGAGCAGGTATTTTGGCAATAGAGTGGGCGAGCATGTCCCGTTTCCTGTCGAATTAACAGTGGATAAATGTCGTAAAACACCGTGGGGCGGATTGACTTGGAAAACCGGGCTATTAATACATATGAATCGCATTTTCCCGGCTATATTCGTGCAGAAATAATATACGTTCTAATAATTTACTCTGGTCCAGGATCCCTTCATTGTTATTTCACTTGGCTTACCTTTAAGAAGTACAGTACTGTTTCACCAAGAGGGGCGGTGCTGGCTCTTCGTGGCTCCTGGCACCAGTGATCGAAGAGGCTGGCCTGGGGCGTGAGCTCCCCTCACCAGCTCCAAAATACTGGGGGGGCGGGGGAGAAGAGAGAGAAACAGACAGGAAGATAGAAACACATATCTTCGGTCGTGGAGAGGAACATTCGAACCCAAGGTAGCCTTTTCTCTCACTTTTTTATAAAGCTGCACAGCAGGGTCCCGGTCGCAGTGCTCCGCCCGGTGTTCAAAGGACGAAGATGCCCCAGCACTCCCTCTTACCCATCTTCGGCTCTTCTTTGTGGTTGGCATCCGTCGCTTGGATGGTGCAACCCTTGCTATCCTCCGCTGCTGCCTACAGGAGACCTGTTTCGGGAGGGAAAAAACAGGGGTTTATGGAGAGAACGCTAATTCTCCTAGACGTGAACACTCGGAGTCCAGTTAAGGTTCTAAATGAAAACTTCGTTTCCTTACAGTTGGATCCTTCTATTATTAAAGACGGTTGGCTGGACTTCCTAAGGTATATTGTTTTGCATTTTTCTTACTGCTGCTCGCGTTCACAGCTGACTGGTTTTTAGAGATTACACATGTTCGGGGTGTGGGGTCTGATGGTTTACAGAGTTTAGTTTTTCGTCCAGGCTTGATGACACAACGTGGTTTTCGTAAACTGAAAATAAAGAAACACGTCGAATGCGATAGAGTATGAGCTTGGAAGTTCAGATTTAGCAATCACAGAATAATGTTGTTTTTACGTGTAAAAATTTACGTATAAAATTACTACGAAGGCCCAAAATTATGGAACTGAGGAAGGATACCTATAACACTCCCAAAATGGCAAGTTTCTTTAAAAACGGCCTAAGTAGCTACACATAATATCTCGTACAGCTGGACACTAATGCTTCCAGTCCGAACCTTTTAAAGTAACAGTTATCATTGATGTATTACTGTTCGCGTGTATGACGAGATAATGGATCTCGTAATAAATTATCTTGTGTATGTTTTCAAAAACGTAGGTGCTAATTAAAAATACATGGACAAGCGGGTATAGAAAATGGAAGGATGGATGTCTAAACCTTACAAACACAGTTATGATATTAAAGTTAATAGCAGTTTTACATTTAACGAACGAAACGGTCACTTATTATTTCAAAGACAATTGTGAATATTAATATTTATGTGTATTTTGTCAGCTGTTTTCTTGGGTTATTCTGAGAATTATTAATATTATATATAGTTTTATTTTATGTAATTAACTTGACTAAGAGTCAAAGAAAGCTGCAATTTAAACAGTTGCCTTCATTCTGGCCTTTATGGTGTTGCGCTATAAATTAATCCTAAATACCGCTAAATATCATAAATATCTGTATTTAAACATTTGTTTGTTTCATTATTACAGATATTTGGAAGTTGGAGGCAAGTACTAGGCCTACTGCTGTTACTAAACCCACATCTAATAATATTGATACGTAAACACTAATAGGAATAATAATATTAATAACATTACATTAATTTGGCCTCATTGTGCTTACGTAAATTTGATAATACGAATATGTGTATAGCATCTACAGCAGTTGGTTTAAAATTGTGCTCTCTTTCTGTTAAATGTAAATCACATTTCTATTCTATTTCTCACTAGCCTTTTTAAGCAGCAGCATTCATGCTTATCTCATAGCTTGGCTATGATATTATGCCAGTGGTTGCTGAAGCTACAATTTGTTTGTTTTCAGCTGTGTAGATACTGCTGACAGCTCGGTGTAAAGGACGGGGTTTTAAACGTGGTTTAACACGGTTATGATCTGTTTATTGTAGTTTTAAAGGTAGCCTACGGTAGTAGTTTGCAAAAAGACGGCGGTTTATAAGCACACCGCAACTACAATACAAAATTAGCGCGAAAAATTAAACACAGCATCAATAATAATATTTTTTTAAATGTTAAATGTCATCACTAACAACAATAATTGTTAGTATTGTTATTAAAATAATTTGGTTATGGTTCTTGTAATTTTTACATCTAAAATTATTACCGTAAATTCGTCTTCAAACCGCTTATCGAGCTCATGGGGAATAGCGATTACGTACAATTATAAATGTCTAAATAAAATATGTAGCCTGTTTTTGCTACTTGTTACTTAAAACATTAAAGTATTATTTTAAATGAAATTTAATAATATAAAATGCAAACATTTAAGGGCTTATAGAATAGGCCTTAAAACCGCTAATGTTCTTGTCAAAGAATTTGAAAAAGACGACTGTTTTGTAATTTTTTGATCGTAGCATTCTGACAATTGTGAAATGTAGAATTTCTAGAAAAAACACAATTTTGCCAGAGTCAAAAAGAATGTGCACAAGTACTAAGAGTATGATGCGTATCAGTTTGTTTAGGCTAGCATTGACTTTTATTAGCTACCAGCAGTATTTCACGTATTTATGCGAAGAGCAATTTTAAATGAATTAAGTTAAATTTCAGAGTTTATATTTCAGAGTAATCGTTTCTTTATGTATTCCAAAAAAAATTATAGTATAATTAAGCAAAATTAAATGTACAGTGTACAGTCAAAAGCACGACGATGGTATTTTTAAATGATATGTACCGTTAATCTGTTGTTTTCGTTTTCAGTATTCCTCACGTTTTCATGTAATTATATAGTTTAAACATCTGGTTTTACTATTGTTTACAAATATTGCAAAACAAAAAATGCGGCATTATACGAGTTTGTCATGCTTTACCGAACTTCTTAAAGAGAATCATAAAACGTAAATACTGAAACCATTTCGCTTTGGAAATGAGCACGCCCTGGTATTCATATTTTTAATAGCAATTATATTTGGTTCATTATTTGAATCCAGAGATACCGAAAGACGTTGCTGACCTTGTGCTGTAACCTCAAAAGGGAGCTTGCCAAACATTACTTAAAATGGCTTAAAGGTCGTTAGTGAATAAATATGCTTGACATATACACACTGTCATACCTAAAACGTTGTCAACTAACGCTTTGTGTCTGTGAAATACGTTTGTTTCATATATCGTCATGTTTTTTGTAAACTGGGTCAAACTTAAATTGGTCACATGTCAACCGTACAAAACGTAGAATATGCGTAGAGGACATAGAGATAATAAGTAGTTTGTGAAGTTCCATCAAACAGCTCAAGTTTGTGTTTCTTAGCAGCGGAATTTCCAGTGCAACATGAAACTGGTTATTAAAATGAAACATTTGTAGCATCATTCTGCATACAGCTGTGCATTTCTCCTGGATTGTTACATTTCACTCATGGTCAGGCCACAAAATGGCCAGTTTGTTTAGGAGCTGTCTGACTAATGAGTTATGTTTAGTTTTGAGTGCACTCAGACTGTGGACTTTGGCTGTAGGATGACTGCTTAAATGTTCTGTAGCTGTAATATGTAAATATCTACAGGTTTAAACCATATGTTAAATGTTATTAAACTCTATAGTATTTATTTTTGCGCAAATTGAATTTTAGGCTTAACCTGATTAGCTGTATTATCCTGAAGACTCAAATGCAAGACTGCCCTGTCCTGCCTGGTTGTGCTTCTTGTTCTTTTGAATGTTTTTTTTTCTAAATTCTGTGTTGAGCAACTGTGTTGAGCAGCCATGCTGAGTCTGTGTTGAGCAGCTGTGCGGCGCCTGTGTTGATCTTGCCAGTATGACAGAGCAGTCTATCACAGTCAGTAATGGTCTCAGAGGAACACACTTTCTCTTGCAAATGTTTCCCTGTACATGTTTCATATTTCACTATCACTGTGAATGCAGTTTTTGTTATTATGCACACAGGGAAACTACCTCATGAAAAAGAAATGGTTCTTAATCGGGTCTTCTAAGCAGATTTCATACCACTTAGGGATGTCAAATCCAACTGTCTTGTAGAAGAGACAGTTAAAACAGATGCTGTCAATCTCAATGTGTAGTTTTGTAGCAGCTTTTCTCAGGATTGCAAATGGCCTGAAAGCTATTCCAGTTTCTGCTCAAACTGAAATCACTGAAACATTTCTGTTTTCCTCACACCAAAACTGACTCCGTTTAGTTAAATCTCAGAGCAGAAGTTAATAAAAGTACAGATGCCAAAAATGATGAAATCTGCAGCAACATATTTTAATATACGCTTTCTACTACTACTATAATCTTGGAATGAATTTAGTCATGCTGTGATTAGTTATACTCATCAGTGTAAAATGTAAATAAAGATATGTAATATGCTTCTTCATTCTCAAACTTTCTAAACTTATTGCCATTTCTCCTATAGATATCTGGCTGCATGTGTCAAACATGGAGCTCTGGTTCCATTCTCATGTACTTCGTTGTTTGGCTCTGCTGATGTTCTGATAACCTGTAGCTTTGGCAGGAATATTGTGTGTGAAGTCATTAATCACTTTGTGCATTTCCCACAGCTCGAAGCGGCTGGTGACACTTGCTCGTGGACTGTCCCCAGCCTATTTGAGATTTGGAGGCAAGAGGACAGATTTCCTTCAGTTCCACAACCTGAAGAACCTGGCAAAGTTCCGTGGGCCAGGACCAGACTACTACCTGAAGAATTATGAGGATGGTAATCTGATACTCCTGTATAAAACAGGAATTACATTCTGTATGTTTGTAGACATTGGGATTCCCTTTTACTTCACTTACCAAACCAATGGAGCCTTTAGTGTTGATTTCGCTGTTGCTTCATGCACGTGCCTGTTGATGGATCATGTAATCACATGGCCACATTCAGAATGGCACGGCTCACTATGACGTGATGGCTGCCATTTTGGCTTTCCTTAGTGCCTTGCAGGCCTTTGGTATGGAGTAATATCTGTGACTTCTTTAGGTTGAGTTCCAGGGGTGTTGGCTACCAACTTAATCATTTAGGTTCAAGTTGATCATGTGGAAAACAAGAAACTCTTGAATCTGAACCATTCTGTGAAGTAGGGACTATTGTATACACCTTTTTGACAGTGTTGTAACTCTATCTGCATAATTATATGCCTGGGTTCTGCCCATTTACTGAGGTAACCAGTGGGCATCTAGTTACAAACACCTCGTTTACTGCTGTATAACCACTCAAAAAAAGTTTAATAAATTCTAAATAGTTCAATTTTGCTTTTTTCAAAGGAAGTGACTTATATTTCACACTTTTTTGATTCAAATTTAGAATATACTGAACTAGACTGCTGAATTTGAAATGAGATTCTAATCACATGAACGACACCATTATTTGTACAGGAGGAGCAACATCTGTCATTTGTGTTCAGGAATGATTGCTGATTTCTCTCTATTGCCTGGCAGATATTGTGCGAAGTGACATTGCTCTGGACAAACAGAAGGGCTGCAAGCTAGCGCACCACCCAGACATGATGCTGGAACTGCAGCGGGAGAAGGCAGCCCAGATGCAGCAGGTGCTGCTTAAGGAACAGCACTCCAACCTCTATAGCAACATCACGCTAACAGGTAGGAGACCACACACGCTGTAGCGGCAGCAAGGCTGAGACTGGGCTGCCTCCTGAAGGCCGTCTTCAGGATGGCTTATGACACAGATTTAGGTTGGCCCATTGCATGCGTCCGATGCTGTGTGTTGTTGTTGCGCTTAGTGTGAGACTGTTAGTCTGCACGGTTACGCAAGCTGAGCTGAAACGCTCAGCCCTCAGAATGACTAATGCGACGGACAGAGTAGCGGGGGAGGGGAGATGAGCTCTGTAATTGCTGCCCTAAAACAGGGACCTAATCCAATTTTTGTGTGGCATGTACTCGGGGCCAGTCTGTCTGTGGGACATTGTCTGCACACAGGGAAATGTTCACATTTCACCTCGTGTATACTTAGCTGTGTAACATGGTAATCTGGTGTACAAAATCTATCTACTCATTTCTGGAGTAGAAATCAAGGTAACAGAGCCCGCCTGTTTGAAAATGCTGGGATTCAGTTCAAGTAAAACAATAGGGTGGAGAGATGAAGCTGACCTGAAGTAAAATGGCAACCGCAGCTGTGAATGATTTGTAAAAATTACATTCTTTAAAACCTCCCACATTAAGGCTCTTCAGTGCAGACAATACACACAACTTGGCTCGTGCTGTGTAATGGTTGCATGGAAAGCGATTGTAGGGATCTGCTGCAGTATGTCCTGGGGGGCTTTTGTGGGGGCACAGCTCTAGATATTCAACCTGGCTTTGGCACCTTGGGCTAAGCCCAGCGTTTTCACGGCTCAGGGCACCAGTGGCCCTGCGTTCCAGTGTTCCATCTGCAGTGGCTTCATCTCTTGAGAGCTCTCCTCTCCTTGGGCGGTCGCTGACCGGCCCCCGATGGAGTTACTGAAGATATAAGACCACTTATACAGAGCGTCTGAAAGAGATTCGTATCTCACATTTCCCCTACTGAGTCTCTCTCTGAAATGGTCTTAAAGACGGGACAGTTGTTTCTAATCAAGTGCTCAGAGGGTTTTCTCTTTATTGGTACTATGGCAACCATTTCTAAGATTTGGCATTGACCTCTGAATCAGGTTGATTTAATCTCTGAGTTTTCTTTGGCAATCACTTAGTCTGAGTGGCATAGATTCTCCTAGTAAACACCATCTTATGGTCTCACCCCCCAATAGCAGCTGCTAATAGATTTACAGGCACAAGCCATCATAGGAAGCCTTTTTTAGCATCTTACTTAGTCTGACCTCTGATATGTTGGTGTGTGGCAGTGACATCAACCTTTTCTGGAAGGTGCTCTTGCCATTTTTGGTCCGCAGCGAACTTCAGCATGGAGCTGCTATTGCAGCTCAATGAGCTCAGATGCAGGGCAGACACACGGGACTGCCCATGTGTCTTAGCTTTCCTGAGTATGGAATGCCACATAACTGAGATGTCAGACCCCTGTCTACGTTTACAGGCAAAGCATATTTCATGGCAGGGAATCCTGAGGATGCCATCGGAAGCATAAACATAAAGGGGGGTTTAATATAGAAACGTTTTATATAGAGAGAAAATGTTCAAAGCATTGCTTTTTTGCGTTTCAAAAGATCCCAAATTCTTCAGATACTTTATAATGTGCTATCTGGAATTTCAGTTAGCATCAGCATCCTTATTCCCCACAGACATTGTATCACAAGTGTCACTTTTATTTTGTTTCAGTTTCTGGTGAATGAGATAAGTGGGAAACAACAGATGACTAATTTGTATTAAGGGTAGCCTTTGGGGTGACATTCAGATGAAGAACAATAAAGGAGAGAAATACAATGGAATCACAGAGAGGTGGGTTGCCCAGGCCTGGTGTGTGCAGTGCTGTCCTGTAAAGGCAGCTCTGCTTTGGCTTCAATGAGGCATGGGAATGAGGCGGGATTTGGGCACAAATTGGAAGAGTCTCAGTCACGGATCCCCACACATTTCTGGAGACCTAGCTTCATCCTGAAACGTTTCGCTTGATACAGTTCATCATCTTGATACTGTTCATATCTGACACCATGAACTCATGTACTGTTGTATTGTATCAGAGATTGCTTTGGTAAATCTGGTTACAAATGTAGCTGCAGTCAGACATTATTTGAACAATGGGCAGAAACTGCTGCTGTACCAGCACAGTGCAGCCTCCATACTGGTACAGGCTGTAAGCTACTACCAACTGTACAGCTTTGTTGGTATTACAATGATCTCCAGTGGCAAGGATTCACTTTTCATATATAACATAAGTGATAGTACAGGTTTGGTATATATAGGTCGTTGTGGACTTATGACCTATGCAACTTACGACTGATCGACCTTACGACCGTTCTGAGACCGCAGATATGTGCCGTGTCTGTCAGCGCCAGTGTTGCCCAGCATGAGAGTACGGTAGTTTCCACCCCAACTGCCGACCATGCTAGTATCCCCGTGAGAAAATGATGATAAAAAGGTTAAAAAACACCATACAATATGACTTAAAGATGACATAATTTTACTATACAGTGTACTATATATATAATAAATATGTATCGAAAATAGACATCTAAAGTAAAGGGCCGATTTACGACTAAATCCACTTGCGATTGCTCAGAACCGATCGCGGTGGTTAGTCAACGATGACCTGTAGTGCGTTTTAGTAAAGAACTGGAATTCACATGTTTGTAAGTGTTACAATGAAATGTTTTATTTTTGTTACCATTATTTTTATGGTTGCTTTGTTGTCAAATATGAAGATGCTTCAATATTATTTTTTTCTCAAGTTAGTCCTAGTTTCAGGTTTAAGCTCAAACTTTGGCTTGAGCTCTGGCCCGAGTTTACCTCCAAGCTCAGGGTAAATCACTGCCGTGGGTCCTGGTTGATGTTTGGGCTCAGGCTAAGGCTCATCCTAAGGTTCAGGCTGCAGCAGGTGGGGCCCAGATAACCAGGCCACGTGCCGTTTGAGAACAGCCTGCTAGCAATCAGCGTGGGCTGCCTGAGCTTCGGCAGGTGGGAGGTGGCGGCTTGTTAGTGCTCAGTGCAGTAGGCTGTCTTCAGCTGGAACAGCTCTGCAGTAAAAGCAAACCATGTGAGTGCAGGGGTCATGGTCCGCCCGGCCCATCCTGTCTGCAGTCTCCTCGCATGGCTGTTCCCCTGTAGGCTCATCTGCACCTTCTCACTCCCTTTGTTTGATCCTTCCTGCTCTGGCCAGTTGCACCTGTGCATGCAGCATTAAAGGACTGTAGCTTTGCTTAGAGATGCAACATGCCTGCATATTTAAACAACCTTATCTGTCTCTGCTGTTCACTGTTTTCTTCATCTTTGCTGCCTTGTTTTCTAGATCACGGTTACATTAAATTTGACATTGCTTATGTTTGTAAACTTGGAGTGAGTGAAGCAGACTCCCCATGGAGCACCCAGTGAATGTCCTTTGCTCTTTCACCTTTATTTTGGCCTGGTTCTCTAATACCTGTGTTCTTCTGGTCTCCTGAAGTCAAGTCACACTACTTAGGCAATTGTTCCCGACACGGAACCTCAATATCATAGTGCTGCACTGAAGAAATGTTTTGTAGGAATGTTTGCAGTATTCCAGACTATTTCCTGACCATTTGAACTCACAAGACAAATGACAGGAAATCGTTCTGTGAGTGCAGATTGGCTTTATTAAAGGTGCCATTTAGCCCTCATTTTCACCAACAGTAGTAACTGCTTGCATTTTTAGCTTTTGTAGTATTTTTCAACTTTTCTAATAGTTTTTTTTCCCAAGATGCAGATTTCATTTATGGGGTTCTTCAAAAATTGCACCATGTTTATTCAGAGAGATCAAGACGTCTACTCCTGTAAACTTTCTGTCTGAGTTATAGTAAAAGGTTTTAATTTTGTGAAACCAGATGCTTACAAAAGAGAACTGCAGCATGTTTCAGACCACATGTGAGCTTTCTAGAAACTGTTGAGCATGTAACATCTATATTTTTGTTATGTGCTGAAGAAAAACCATGTAATGTCAAAACTTTTCAAAATAAATATGCTGCTTTTTGCAGGGTTGTACTGTAAGTGCAACAACCAGTAAAGATATATTCTGTTTTATTAACGCAAATACAAAACTGGTCACTGCCAGTTAAATCCAGGAGTGCAATAATGAGCTAAATATTTTCACAGTTTTCACTTTATAATGTTGACGTTTATGCCAGTAACAGTCCAGATTTTACATTTCAGAGATTTGCAGTTGAACGCAGATTGTAATTTTATTTGGCTGCAAATCTAACATAAGTGGAAAAGAGCCAGACCTGTGTTCCTGCTTTTTAATTACTCACCTTGCAAAGTACAGTGAATGGAGCATTTTCACTCCTCGGCCAGTGAATCTTGAGTAAATAAAGCCTTTAATGAGACTGCAGTATAAGGTGCTAATACTTTAAACAGGATCTTTCTAAAATAACTAATAGTTTATCAATGTCTGAAGAGTTCTGAAAGCACTACAGCATGTTAAGCCCTTTTTTGAAGGCAGTACAGTACTGTGTAAAAGTCTTAGGCAGCCGAAGAAAAAGATGTATAAATGCTGTGCATGTTGGTGTAAAACTATGCTGTTATGCCTGACAAAGTGTGTCAGCTTAGCCATTTCAAAACTTCTGCTGCAATCACCCCAGTATTTGTAGCAACCATCCAGTACTCCCATATATTTTATGACTGGACCACTGGCACACTGAGTATAGCTAATCAATGCCTTATTGACTTATTTAACTCATTAAATTAATTAATTAAATGGGCTGGTGGTGAAATGTAATGAATACATGGAATGGCTGTGGTGCCCCTGAGGAGAGGTTTGGGAGCTGAAGCGGTGTTCATCCAGCCATCCAACAAGATATCAGTGACTTTTTCTAGAACGGAAGAAATTCTTTCTAGTTATTATTGTGTTGCTCTTAATTTGCATATGTTCTGACGTTAAATTGTATTTTTTGTTCTGAGCAAATATGTATTTGCTACTCAGAGAAATAGCTTTAAGCATTTCTTTTGACTGCCTAAGACTTTTGCACACTGCTGCTTTTGAAATGAGTCTT